TTTATTTGTATTATTTTTCAAAACAATGCCGGTTTTGTTTTTGTTTTTCGATAAACAAGTTTTGACCAAAAATAGAATACATAAACAAACGGTTGTTTTGGTTTTTTCATTTTAATATTCAACAAGAAAATGTTTTGTGCGAATATGTCAATCATTTTGACCCAAATGGATGATTACACGTCAAATCAGAGCAAACTAATTGCATATTATATTTATTGAATCAAATATTATTTAATTTTCTATGTAAAGGATCGTAATTTAATACAGTCTTAAAAATTACGTTCACGTGTCCCATGATTTCATTTGTTAAAGGTATTGAAAAAAATAGCTCATATTTCTCATTCAAATACTATATAGATAGATTTATTGGATTATCCGGAATTTATATTTTAATAACTGACCATAAAAAAATATTTTCTTTAAAAATTAAAAATGAAAAAATAAGATCTGCCGGTCAGACCGAACTTTTTATGCCATATATAAGGTGTATAGGCGTGGTTCTACGTCAAAATAGGGATTTAGATTGTAAAGTATTTTTTGTTAGTTTTTTGCTCTCCAATACCGTCAAAATACCGAAAATTGAGCAGTACCATTGTAAGTGAGCTAACCCAAACCCGTGTACATTGTATGAGTTAGCAGCAACGTATGCACGTATTATGCGGTCTCTGGAAAAAATATATTTGATATTTTTGAGTCGGATAGGATATAATATAAAAGCTAAAAATGTTGTTAAATACATGGAATAAACTGTGTACTCAGGAGTCAACTACATCCGGTGGTAAAATAATATAAATGCCAGTATCGATTTCTCGTTTTTGGGAACATTATCCAAAATCTTATGAGCAACATTTTTGTACAATACTACAAGGTAAAGAACTTTCGTCTTCTGGGAATTAGATCACGTTCCAAAAAAATAAGGACGAAAAAAATGCATTAGGATTCGAGATAAAAGGAGGCTATATTTTACAAAAATTATTTGCATTTAATTTGACTGTAGACATGTGGTCTCAGAAATAACCGCAAACAAAGACACAAACAAATTTTCTTCATGAACATGAGGGTTAACAATAATAATTTTACCTATGGCGAATTTTTCCTTCTGTGGTCATAATACATTCTCCAAGGGCTTTTATCCCCATAAGGAATTGTCCACCCCTCAGACCATGACCTTGAATTTGTGTCACAGTGCAGCGAGCAACGATCAATAGAAAATTCTTTGAACTGATATATTTCATATTTATATTTTATTTGAGTCTTTTGAAAAGATTTTTTCAAACGACCTGACTCCGATAAAGACTGTACATGCCCCCATAACATCTACGCCCATTGACTATAAATATTATTGACTATAATATTAGAACGAGACTCAGTATCTCAAAGATTTCTTATCTATATTTGGAATTACTCACAGTGGCTCGCTATATTATTTCAGATATTTTAATGATGCTAAAGTGTGTAAAAATTTTTGGAGATAATTGATTTTTGTCCAGAAATTTGGACTCTATGTACAAATTTAAGAAACAGTTCTCAGATATAACAATTTTTATGCAATTTAAAGGCGTAAAATGTTCCAAACAATTTATAGATAAATTGCGGTGAAATCTAGCCACCTTTTGAACAGTAGCTCCTCTGGTTCCCAATTGTCAATAAGATGAGGCTCTATTTTTCTTTGTAAAAACCCCTACATGGTAAATTACAAGTAGAAAATGGACCAACAACTATGTAAACTGGATATGCAGCACTCACACAAATTGTCAATGAGGTTCTACTTTTTATGATCTCTGCTTTATGGCTAATGATGGTATATCCACATTAATACGGCAAAAATGTGCCTCATCGAAATATTGATTTAAAACCACATGATTCTTCAGACAATTTGGGGTCGATTTACAAATGTCCCTCTGTCTGTTTGCCGGCTGGTGCGCAGGATAACTCTCGAAGAGAGTAACGAATTCCATCCAAACGTTGTACAACCTATGTTTTCCTCCCAACTTAGTTCAATTAAGATGATCGGGGAATATCGGTCCACTCTTTCGGCAACTCCCTCAAAAAATGGCCATAATTGTACTAAAAATTTATTTCATTTGAACCAAACTTTGTACAACCTCAATGAAGTCTGAAGATGGGAAACATTGGCCAACTCCTTCTGAATACCATATTTATAAATTCAATATTAGGCGAATAATATCTTTACCAAGCCTAGATCGAGTCCGAAGGTGGAACCCGCCTCCCTCTCTTTCTGGCACCTCCCCCACAAAGGGTAAATATTATATAAATTTGAAAATTTTGTTTAAAACGATTTGGATGACCGATTTGATCAACATTAAATCCTCAGAGAGAAAAAATTCAGCTATTTGTAGACATTTCGAAACTTTGTACAGGGCATGACTTGCTTTATTACATCACCTTATGAAATTCGAGGGCTTTCAAATGCCCTACAATCACCCAGTAAACCTTTTGAGCAACACTCTCGAAATGCTTATTCGTTTTTAAAGAACCCCCAACGAAACACTGTCTCCCCGGCACCTTTCTCTTTGATTGTTAACACATCAGAAACAAATCAGCTAAACATGGCTAAACGTTGCGCTTATCAGTCTATGACTTTTTAGAGGTGGGTTTTGGTTTATTTGCCCCATTATTTGTTTGTCTTTTTTGTTGTTTTCTTTTTTCTAGTACAATCAGTCTGATCGCAAATAATTACAACAATAATAATACGCTGAGGACAAAATAAATATTCCATTCGACAGAATTTACTTGCTGCTAATTATTTTATTTCCCCCACAAAGGCGCACACATACACTCACAATGGCACACGTTTTTCTTTCATTTTTATTTCCTTACTTGTTGTTGCTGTAACGAATTTAACGTTTGCGAAAATTTATTTCACCAGAATGGAATTGTAAACAAAATTGTGATTAGATTAATATTATTATTACCCAGCCATTGTTTATACAGTTCATACAAGTGTACATATGTATATAGATGAGGGTGTGTATGTGTGTTGCGCATACACCATATTGTTTGTGCCATTTGTATTTTTTATTGTGGTAGGATAGATGTGGATGATGATGATGATGAGTTGTTTGTTGTTGCGATTGTTGCCAAACAAAACTGACGCCGATGATGGCAACTGCAAACTTCTTTTCTTTTTTTCAATAAATTTATTAATAAATAGCAATTCGGAATTTCGATTGGTGACAAAATCGACGAATGTTATTTATATAATTAACCAAAAACGAAGTACATCAATATAAGTTGCCTGAATTTTAAGTTTATCTGCCTGTGTACAATCGATTTTTATACCCTTTACTACACTGTGGTACAGGGTATTAGGTCTTTGTGCATATGTTTGTAACAGGCAAAAGGAAACGAGGTAGACACATGGTTCCTTTTGAGAATGTACATACAATCACTTTCTAAGACGATTTCTGCATGTCCGTTTCTCTGTCCATGTTAAATTGTAACACAGGACACATTTAGATTCGAATTGGATGAAATTGGGCACTGCTCATTTATTTGGCCCAAGGACGAACCCTATTGAAATTGGGGAAAATCGGTTCAGATTTAGATATAGCTCCCATATATAATTTCGTCAGTATATATGTACTGTGGCGTACTGTATCAACTTTAGAATGATGTGTATTAATTTTCAAGAAAATCGGTTCAGATTTCGCTATAGCTCCCATATATAATTTCGTCCGATGTAATGTAAATAGTGCACCAAAGTGCCTATATATCTTTCGATTTGCACAAAATTTGGCATATCGCACCGAATTGAGTCTAGAATGATGTGTGTTAAGAGCTATGCGGACAAGAGTTGGATATAATCGAATAATATTTAAATTCTTATTAGAAATGGCTTGTGTATAACCGATTTTCAAATTATCATGAAATAAAAATATATTATTTACGTTTTGTTTTTCTCAGCGAACAACGATTACAACTGTCAATCAGTATAAATACATTACTTTCTTTTAAATATAAATAATGTCATATTCCTATGAGTGTGTGTGTGTGTGATTATTCTCAATTGCGTATTTCTTTGACAGTCGCATTGTTAGATGTCATAAACAATTAAATTGTAAATCGTATCATTTAGAATATCATTGGTTTTTTATATCACGTCTTTGATGAATGTGTTTCCCTACTTTCTGAATGGATTATTTTATGAAATACAATTAAGCTCAGAACAAACAAAACCAGTCATGATCTATTTATTTAATGGTTAAATATTCATTTATCGATTAGTTCCGTTTATACCTTCCGATTTTTACAAATTATTATCACTTGTCTTAAAACATATACAAAATCGGTACATTTATATTGGGACATTCCTTTTTGGTTAGATTATATTTCAACCATCCACTTAAAAAAAAAAAACTATATAATTATTCTACGAAACTGTTATGATTTGAAGGTATTGGTGTGGAAAAACGATACTCCAGAGGTTGAACAGTCAGTTGAAGCCAAAATCTACTTTCCCATGATTTCTGCCCAATCAAAATGTCGTAGGTTTATAAACGTTTCTTAACATTACTGAATGAATAAAGCCTTGTGGATATTGGAAACTCGGCCCACAGTCAAGCTGGCCTCGCAGTGGCCTCTGCCAATGTAAACTGGCTATTCCAGTGATGTGGCGCCACATACCACTGAATTATCAGAAATCTTGGGATTATTGCATTGGCGCCATACCAAACTGCGACCAGACAAAATTTCAAAGGGATATTTGGGAGCCTCCTTTCCTCTACGCGAACCAAATACCAATTTTTTTGGCAGGAACCAACTTTAACATATCTTCACCGTGGAGAGCTCTAACCACGTAAAACATCAATATCATTGCCAAAGCATTGGGTGACAGGATGGAATAGGGACAAGAATGGACCCATTTGTATTTGTAATTCGTAGCTGGATTTCGGGTGTTCTTCATCAGTCCAGGAATAAACAAAGGCTAATTTTTTAGTAGGTATTATTTTTATCGGCAGACAATCACCGTCATTATTTTAACCACCAACAGCTTTGGATTGCTTCGGTGTATCGGGGGATGAATGTAACCAATTGTGAACTGTAATGAGGAAGAAATGCTAATTTTAAATTGAAAATATGGCAATAACTGTGTTTCAAAATAGAGGCTAAAACCCCTCAAAATAGGAAAGGTAAGTTTTAGTCTACAACTACCATAGCGGAATCTGAAAGGTGTGGTACAGAGGCATGTAAACCCCTAGTGTAATCTGGGGACGTCCTTACTGAAACAGACAAGTTAGATGACCTATGATATGGAGTATTGTAACCCTTTGACCAAATCTGAAAACAGGGATATTCCGGCAAATAAAAACTACTGCCCATGCGTCACACAGTCAAAGGTAAAGTCTATGGTTCAAACACATTTTGGAAAGATAAACAAAAATTAATTTTCGGATTACATGACGTCGAGGTATCGGCAAAAATATTCGAAGATTTGGACAGAAGATCTAGAGTTATGCTGTCCCTGTAGTACGTCAATGCAGAAAGGTTATAGGATCCAGTCTCTAAAATATTTGTGTCATGATATTTAACGCCAATTGGGAATGTTAAATATATTCCTTGATAAATGTATAACTTTCCGCTTCCACTCAACTCCAATCCACCCATTTGTTCTTCATGCTTTTTGTTCTGTAATTATAATTAATAAGTAATTACAGCTACTCACCCATATTATTATTGGGTTTGCATAACCTGTTTCCGGAATATCTTCTTGCACAATGCTACCAAATAATTATAGTTTTTATTTTCACATTAATCGATTACAATATTTACAATTACAATAACATATACATATATGTAGGCACTACTTGAAGTCATGAATTACTCTCTTATCTTCTCTCATCTCCTCCCCTCAATAACCCATACCCTGACAACGATAATATTCATCACGATGTACAAGTATTTCATAGCCACCATCGATACGAACTTCCCGACCGCCATAGGGAATATAGAGGCAACCATGTGAACGATGAATTTTACCACAAGTCAGCGAACCATGATAATGGGCACGACCAACATAGAGAACTTCTCCACATTTGGTGCGACCGCCTTCAACGGCACCTGGAGCATAGCCGTTAATCGCCGGAACCCAAATGTAGTGTTGACCCACTAAAATTTCATAATTATTCTTATGAAACTCTTGACCCTGATATGAAACATAGGCCGAAGAACGTCCCGGTACAGCTTTACCAGGAATATAGTCACCATTGTGAAAGGCACGACAAACATAAATGGTTGACATGTCGGAATCATGGCCAGCGTGCACTGCATCGCCTGGAGTGTAACCGGGCGAGGATGGTATCCATCTGTCAAAACGTTTGGATGGTTGGTAATTTGTGGCGGTAACAACAATTGTAGCAGGTGGAGGGGGTGGTGGACAGCACGAGGGATTGTATGTGGATGCTGGTATCACAGTTGCTGAAGCATAGGCTCCACCGGGTGGCACATACGTTGCAGCTGGTTTTGGTGGCAAATAACTAGGCATGGGCATTGGCATTGGAGTAGGCATGGGCATAGGTGTAGCCACAGCTGTGTATGGTGGAGGTGGGCCCACCGGAGCGGGCATAGGCATAACTGGTTTAATTTCTGGATATGGACACACTTTTTCGGCCGTCATTGGTGGTGGTGGAGGCGGCGTTGAAGGCAAGGGATCAGTCGAAGCCAATTCTACCTTCCAACCAGCAGATGATTTCTCCTCAACCAAAATCTCATAGGTTTCCAAACGTCTCTCAACACCCTTGAAGGGAATGAATAATGCCTTGTGGACTTTGGAAACTCGGCCCACAGTTAAACTACCTTCGTAGTGGCCTCTGCCAATGTAAACTGGCTGTTCCAGTGACGTGGTGCCACATACCACAGCATTGTCGGGAATCATGTGATTGTAGCAGTGACGCCACACCAAATTGCGGCCTGACAAAATTTCAAAATGGTCTTTGGGAACCTCCTCTCCCCTCCACGAACCGAAGGCCAATTTTTTGGCAGGAATCACCTTTAACACCAACATATCGCCATGGTGGAATGCTCTGCCCACATAAATCATATCACCATCAACATCATTGCCACCTACCACAGCATTGGGTGGCAGGGTGGAATAGGCGGACGAATGGACCCATTTGTATTCTGGAAAAAAGGGATTTAGAAAATAAATAAAAAATTCCAATAAACCATTTATTTAAACATACCTTCAAAGTCGATTAAGGGTGCCTCCTCGGGAGCAGAACCACCAATTGCCACACCACCTCCGCCATACACCAACACCTCATATTTTTCCAACTTAATTTCTGCTCCCTGATAGGGTATGTACAAACAACCATGGGATGGTTGAATCTTGCCCACAGTCAGACTATTGGCATAGTGGCCACGACCCACATACAACGGTTCTCCACTACTCGTTCTACCAGTGCTAATAGCATTCGGTGGTATATTTGGACCAGAACAGGGTTGCCAAGTGTAACTATCGCCGAGTAATAATTCGTAACTGGATTTCGGATGTTCGCCACCAGCCCATGAAACAAAGGCTAATTTTTTACTAGGTATTACTTTGGTCGGCAGACAATCACCTTCGTGAAATGAACGACCAACATAGATGGGACTGCCGTCACTGTCGTAACCGCCTACCACTGCTTTGGGTGGCAGCGGTGCATAGGGTGATGAATGTAACCAGTTATGGGCTGTAATGAGGAAGAAATGCTAATGTTAAATTGGAAATATGACGGGTTTCAATGTACTGAACGAACTCTTTAACATGGAGAAAATGTAAGCACTGTCGTAGAGGGCATACACTTAAGTCGAAGTAGTGTAATGGTGAGCCATTAGGCCACAGAGAAAGTGTATGGAACAGGGGAATGTCTAAACTTCTTTGAAGCAATTTGACGACCAGATTGGAGCAGTGGGGCGTGACCACTTTCGATATGGAATGTAGATCAAATCTAAACTCAGTTGTAAATAAAAACATCTGCCTATGAATCACGCAGTCAATTTAAAGGCATTTTATTCAAACACAAGTTGGAAAGAGAAAATATGATTAATTTTCGGATTGCATGACGTCGTGGAATCGGCAGACATATTTGAAGGATCGAACAGGAGAATTATGATGTCCTTCGACCAATATAATATACTAAGGCCATGGAAATCAATAACTATTCGGGAAACCCAATGATCGATTCTTCCAGATAGTACTCTATGGAAGATCAGACCTAATGAGACCCAATGATCGACTCTTCCAGATAGTACTATATGAAAGATCTGACTTCTAGAGCTCACATATTTCGTAGCAATTTATATTATGAACACGAACCCGGTTAATTTGATAATGATAGAAATGTCTTTGGGTTGCTGAAGTTGACAGGCAGGCCATAAAACACATTAAAACTAGAGATATTCCATAAAATTTGGTACCAAAAATTTTTCTTATTCACCTATACTCGATTCCAATAAAAAATCCCCTGAAAAAAGAAAAACAAATTTCCAACTTACCCATTCCTTTGAAATGTTCTACAAGTTTCAAAATATATTTCTTGACAAATTTATAACAGTCCGTTTGTAATTTGTTCTCAACTCCAATAACACTAGACGTTTTCGTGAAACTGATTCATGTGAATCGAAACGGAAAATAACAACAAAACCATCTATCAACCTGAAATGGCTTTATTTTGAAAATAATATCAACTTCCAGTGGAATGAATGGTTTACCCAGATAAGAAGGTGTTTTTTTCGTTTTCCGTCCATCGTATAAGAATGGGTGGTATGTCGGTGTGTCGCACGATATGGAAGGGGAGTACACGATAAGCAATTGCAAAGTTCTATGGACTGACTATGACTCAGAGTAGAAGAGTGCGTATAAGAGTAATCGTTGTGTGTTGTCGCCATCGTGTTCGTCGCTTACCGGCAGGTGATGTGAGTGAATCCCCTTGTACATACGATTGGTCAGGCGAAGACAGAAAAAAACATATTTTTTTATTGATTAGTAACTATTGACTGAAAGGTATCAATTCCAGTTAACTAATGCAAATAGTTGATATATATTTTTTCGGTAAATTGATAAGATTATAATTTTGGAGATTGAAGTGAAAATACAGAGTGCTATAATTGAATGAATGTTAAAAGAAAATTTAATTTTAAAAATATTAAATTTAATTTTCTGAATGTGAAATTAAAAATCTAAAATTCGATAATTGGAAGCATATAATTTTACCCTTAACAAATTATTGTATATTTTATGTTAGGCTTACAAAAAATATTCTTTATCGTTTTAAAATCTTGTATTGTGTAGAAATTACCCTGAAGATAACTGCTTTATTATTAAATTAATTTGATTTTTCTTATATTAATTCGATGGATTAGGGCAAGTACATTCAATACACAGGGTATTGCTTTCAAATTCTTTCATAATAAAGGACATGCTGTCAACATTAAATTAAATTCAATCATTGTCTTAAAAAATGCGAAAAACCAATAATATGGGAGCTATATTATTGTTCCGCAGGAATTCGAGAATTTTTGTAATATATTTTCTCTCAGTCTGCTTTTTAAAATTCTGATCCGATTGTTGGACTATATATGTTGTTCTTTGTGTGTTCATACCTTCAGATCCTGAATTCATAATCTCCCTCGCTCTATCCATCCTTTTTTTTCGTTTTGGTTGGTAGTTGAGTGGCTGGGTAATTTGGTTTTACATTAAAATTTAACGATTAAATTGACGTTTCATTGCGTTACAGAATACATAATGGTTACACACAGAGAATATTGCATACTTTTAGGCGTTGAACTTAAAACACTGTAAGTGATAGCAATTATATATTAGAATGACGAAAATTGAAATAGTTTGTAATGAAATTGAAGTATAATGGAGTAGTAAAAACATTAATCGAAATATTATAATATAATTTAATTCAATTTAATTTGTTTTCAAATTAAAAATATAATTAAAAACCCCCAAAAATGGCGCCCAATTAATCAAATACTATTCCAAACATGTATTGTATATATGTTTCTATTAAAAGTATAATAGCCTCGGAAATTGATTTCAAAATTAAATTACTCCATATGTAGATCATTAGAGATATAGAAAATGTTCAATTGAGATATAGAAAATTCAATTTTATTTAAACTCTATTTTATGATTATCATAATTTCTTTTTCATTTTCTTTTTTCTTGTCGTTTTAATTTGATATTTAATATAATTCGTTTAAAACAAAATTAAACATGTTGGGCATAAATACACCATTGTATAGATATTTTAACTTCTTCCTGTCAATTATGTTATTTTGAAGTATGTTTTTTTCAAAACGAAAAAAAAATATTGTTTCAAAATTTTAGACATACTCATGTCGATCACCAAACGATACAACACCCTGTATTGCGTCAACTCACCTGTAATATTGTTGTTTTATCAGGTGTTGGCTTATCAGTGACTACAGGAGTACTGATAAACTGCATGTTCAAATGTTTTTCAACAGTTTTAGTAAAACGCTTAAAGAATCAAGAACTTTTAGTTAGTACGCTTAGTTAAACTCACTCGTAACAACGCTTGACAGAACAAAAAAAATGGGTAAGTAAAAGTGTTATTAAAAAAAAAAGAAATTCAATAAAATTTGGAAACTCAAAAAAAGGAAAGAAGTGAATATGTGATCTGAAGTGATCTTTGTGGAAAATAAAAATAATTAAATACATAATTGCTTGTAATGTAATTAGGCCATGTTAGTGAATATTGTTTGGGAATATCTAGAGTGAGAAGATTTGTCTTGGAATAGCAAGTTCTGGAATAGCAAGTTGTTATCAAGTTCTAGAATAATTCTATATTTTTTAAATTAGTATTTGTTTGATTATTCAACCTTTGTTTGATATTTCGACCTATTGATACAGCCGAGCTTGAGCTTTTTAATATATTATTTACATTAATTAATAATAATTGTGACATTCGGAGATCATATGAGACGTTGTTAACATTTTCAGTGGTTATTAATTTCAACACAGTTTTTTTTCTTTTAAAAATGTTTCAACTATTTTTGGGACTAGAGTTTTTGTAGCAGAATTTATTTCTGCAAAAGTATCAATGTTTAAAAAGTGTTGGCCATTTTGTGGTTATAATTTTTTTTTATAATTTCTTTCTTTCTTATTTTCCCTTGATAGTCCAGTGTATTTCTGGAAATTGAATTCCCTCCATACTTCAGATAAGCCAGTTGACTGATAAAGTTCGTTAGAAATCAACCACCAAATGAATGTGTTTATACGTGGCCTGAAATATTTTTACCACCATGTTTTTTATTGCCATCACCTAGACCTCGCAAGAACAATGGGTTATTAACTTCGATATTTCAATAACTCAATATATGTATGATTTCCGCAATATTGTAATGTGAAGGATACATTTTCCAAAAACAATAGTTATTATTATGTGAATATCATTCACAATGCTGTTTGTTTGTTTGTTTGCTACAATGCGGCATGATCCGAAGTTGTATGATTCATTCACAACACCATGCCATAATCAGTCAATATAAAATGTCAATTGAATTGAAATTGTAATATGTATGACAATTACTTATCTCTTTTATTATTATCTATGAATATATGAGTGTATATTAGGTTGTATCAAAGTCCAAAATAAAAAAAATGGTATACAAAAAAGCCAAAACCAATAAAATGAGGAAGTCTTCACAAAAATAAAGTTAAACATTAATAAAATTATTTTTTTTAATAAATTAAAAAAAAGATAATCTTCCTATAGTCCCTTTAATATTATTAAAAAAATCGACTCTTTGCATAGACCCTTTAAAAAGTTTCCGCTTCGTTTCGATCCTTTAATAATATTTTTTAAAAAATCGACGCCTCGTATAGATCCGTTAAAAATATTTTGAAAAATTTCTACGTTTCGTATAGATCCTTAATTTTTTTAACCTAAACTTCGTAGATAAACTTTAAAAATATCTAACTCCTATATTAAGGACCAGTCCCATTTTGGCATTATGATGGTCCTAGATGCATTTTCCAACTCAAGTAGCTGTAATTTGGTATTCCGTGTTCTAAGTGGCTAAAAAACTTATTCACAGAAAATATTTAATACAGGTATAAGTTTTGATAGAGCTACCATGTTAAAGTTCTGCCCCATTTTAATTTTTCCATGATCTTAACAACATTTTCAACCCTATATATACCATTTACCCGGCATTCCGGGTAACATTGCAAGTATACTCAATACACCAAGTTGATTCATTGTCCCTTTAGACTGCTGTACAATTTTCTTTACTCCCTAATATACACTCAACATCATAGTACAATTATTTACAAAACCATAACGATAAGTATACAAAAGAATATACAAGTACAACAACAAAACACAGCAGTGAAAAATAAACACTTTTCACCTGAGTTTTCTTTACATCGCCACCTTAACCGCGAGCCTTCGAATTACTCACCTCTGTCAGTTGTGTAAATAATTTAAGACAAATTGTGACAATTTAAGACCCTTTTTCGCAAGTAAATAATGCATGTTGATACCAGTAAAAACTGTAGCATTTCCCTTCACTCACTCTTTCCCTCCCATCTTTCAAGTGGCTACAGAAAAAATAGACATTTTTCAAAGTGAGGCAGTTAAGCTTTTTTTAATGCCACCCCTCCTAATCTTAAGCCATTAAAACCACTACAGGGAAAACAAAGTGTCGAATCGTTTGTTTGTGTCAAACCCAATCAATTAATAATCCTTGAAACGATTTTGACTGATACGATGTTTACATAGAATTTTTGTTGGCTTTTTTGTTGATAAAGCCCAGCCAATAAATAACCACAAAATAAAAAAAAAAACAAATAAACACTGTCACAATAATTGAGTCCACATTATTGAACGATGATAACAACGAAAACAGTCTTTGAAAAAAACGAAGCTTTTTCTTAGAATTTTTTTGAAAACATTGCAAGGTTTTTTTTTTGTATTTTTGTAATCTAGAAAAACAAAGCTCTAAGTACTCAGTAACAAGTATTTGTTATCACTTCGCCACTATATTTTGATAAAGGTGTTGTTGTTGTTTTTTTTGAAAACTTATGCTTCCAAAACAAACATCCATGCGTAAATGCAATATTTATTTGTTTGTGTGTCAAACCCAACTGACGGTTTGTTTATCTATGAGTCAAACAAGGTGTAGTTGAGGTTTGAGTAGATTTCTTGCGACATTTGACTTGTTTTTCATTATCTAGAATTTTTAAGAAGTGAGGTGGTGTTGTTGAGTTCTGAAGACAAATAACCGGTTCATGATTTCTTTAATGAAAAACCAGTAAGGAAAGTAGTAAAGTCGGACGGGGCCGACTCTAGGATACCCTTCACCACTATGGGTACATTAAACAGGACTATTAACATGAAATTGGATGAAATAAAATATGTGATATTTATCTAAATGTGAATCTACCTAGATTTGTCCATAAAGTGTGTAAATCGACTTCAAACAAATATAAATAGGTCATCCGGTTGACTATGTCTGTACTTCTAGAAAACGCAACTACGTAATTCTATGTCAATTTTGTACGTTGTGCAAAATTTGATGTCAATCTGACTAACATGAGGAGTATGATGCCCAATTTGCTTGATATCGGGCGAAAAAATATATGTAAGCTATATCCACATATTAAGCGATTTCAAACAAACTTGTCACAGGTTAGGTTATACTAACTTTAGAACGTTTTGTTCCTATTGGTTCCTTGGTGCGTCAATTACATAAAATCAATCTATAATAAAATGGAGCTATATCTAAATCTGGACCGATTTTCACGAAACAAGGCAGACATCACTCTAGGCTCAATTCAGTACGTTATGCCAAATTTCGTGCAAATCGAAAGATATATAGCGACTTTGGTGAACCATTTACATGAAATCGGACGAAACTATATGTGGGAGCTATATAGAAATATGGACCGATTTTATCGAAACTTGGCAGACATCACTCTAGGCTCAATTCAGTACGTTGTGCAAAATTTCGGGCAAATCGAAAGATATATATGGATGTTGGTGCACAATTTACATGAAATCGGACGAAACTATATATGGGAGCTATATCTAAATCTGGACTGATTTTCACGAAACTTGGCAGACATAACTCTAGGCTCAATTCAGTACGTTATGCCAAATTTCGTGCAAATCGAAAGATATATATGGATTTTGGTCACAATTTACATGAAATCGGACGAAACTATATATGGTAGCTATATCTAAATCTTGACCGATTTTCACGGAGCTTGGCAGACATCATTCTAGACCTAAATGATTAGGCTGTACCAAATTTCGTGCTAATCGAAAGATATATAGGGACTTTGGGGCCCCATTTACATTAAATCGGACGAAACTATATATGTGAGCTATATCTAAATCGGGACCGATTTTCATGAAACTTGGCAGACATCATTCTAGGCCCATTTAAGTACGTTATGCCAAATTTCGTGCAAATCGAAGGATATATAGGGACTTTGGGGCACCATTTACATGAAATCGGACGAAACTATATATGGGAGCTATATCTAAATCTGGACCGATTTTCTTGAAACTGGGCAGACACCATTCTAGACTCAATTCAGTACGTTATGCCAAATTTCGTGCAAATCGAAAGATATATAGAGACTTTGGGGCACCGTTTACATGAAATCGGACGAAACTATATATGGGAGCTATATCTAAATCTGGATCGATTTTCACGAAACTTGGCAGACATCACTCTAGGCTTAATTCAGTACGTTATGCCAAATTTCGTGCAAATCAAAAGATATATAGGGACTTTGGGGCACCATTTACATGAAATCGGACGAATATACAGTGGTGGCCACAGAATTAAAACATTTACTGTGGTAAACATTTTTTGGTCAGCCCTCGATTCGTTTGAAGTATTTTTGAAATTTTTTTAATTCAGAACACTTCGATATACTGCACTCAAGAGATTTAGTGTGAAAATGGAAAATTATTTCATGCAATTTTTCCATAAATAACGGTTTTTATGAAAATACATCGACTTTGAAGTGGCCATATAATTAAAACATTGTGTGATTTTTTACTAGACTGCATTTTTTGAAAATATTTTTTAAAAAAGCTCTTTAATTTAGTTAAATTATGTAAACTAAGCACCGATAAAATCATTTACTGATAAAAATTTTTGAAAAAATCTGTAAAATCTATCAAAAATGCCAAAAATGTGTTCAGTACACCTTACATTCAGAAAATAACCCTTATTATAGAAAATAAAGGTCCGAATGCACCAGAAATTTATAGAATTAGTAGAAAACAATAAATAATTCTCAAAATAAATAAATATTTGAAATAAAAACTCAAAAAATTGGAATTAACCTAAAAGAACGATTAAATTTCGATAGCCTTTATTGAAGAAGGCCGGAATATTTTTGCAGTATGTGAGGAAATATCGATTGATATTGGCATTTATTATATGAAATCGATTGTTCGAGTAGTACACAATATATTTGATCAAAAAATATACCAGTCACAACAGAAAGAACAGAGATCAACACCTAGGTTGACGAGTAAAAGTTTCTGCCACACAGCAGCATTTTTGATGCTCAACTCAAGACTTTAAATATTTGTCAAATTGTAAAATTTGTCTTTCATTTAGGCTAAAATAGATTAAATGGGCATTATTCTATTCAAAAAATATTATTTTGGAAAAATATTGTCATGTTCAATAGATTTTAAGGGTCAAGAGTTAACCATCAAACATGATGCTGTGTACCAGAAACGTTTTCTCGTCAACATAGGTGTTGATCTCTGTTCGTTCTGTTGTGACTGATAATTTTTTTGATGAAATATATTCTGTACTACTCGAACAACCGATTTGATATAATAAATGCCAATATCAATCGATATTTCCTCACATACTGCAAAAATATTCCGGCCTTCTTCAATAAAGGCTATCGAAGTTGAATCGTTCCTTTAAGTTAATTCCCATTTTTTTGAGTTATTATTTCAAATATTTATTTATTTTGAGAATTATTTATTGTTTTCTACTAATTCTAGCAATTTCTGGTGCATTCGGACCTTTATTTTCTATAATAAGGGTTATTTTCTGAATGTAAGGTGTACTGAACACATTTTTGGCATTTTTGATAGATTTTACAGATTTTTTCGAAAAATTTTATCAGTAAATGATTTTAACGGTGCTTAGTTTACATAATTTAACTAAATTATAGAGCTTTTTTAAAAAAATATTTTCAAAAAATGCAGTCAAGTAAAAAATCACACAATGTTTTAATTATATGGCCACTTCAAAGTCGATGTATTTTCATAAAAACCGTTATTTATGGAAAAATTGCATGAAATAATTTTCCATTTTCACACTAAATCTCTTGAGTGCAGTATATCGAAGTGTTCTGAATTAAAAAATTTTCAAAAATACTTCAAACGAATCGAGGGCTGACCAAAAAATGTTTACCACAGTAAATGTTTTAATTCTGTGGCCACCACTGTATATATTGGAGCTATATCTAAATCTGGACCGATTTTCACGAAACTTGGCAGACATCATTCTAGACCTAAATGATTAGGCTGTACTAAATTTCGTGCAAATCGAAAGTTATATAGGAACTGTTTACATTAAATCGGTTAAATATATATATGGGAGCTATATCTAAATCTGAACCGATTTTTCCCAATTTCAATAGGGTTCGTCCTTGGGCCAAATATGTGACCTATGCCAAATTTCATCCAATTCGAATCATAAATGCGACCTGTACTTTGTTCACAAAAATAAATGGACGGACGGACGGACGGACAGACGGACATGCGTAAATCGACTCAGAAAGTGATTCTATGCATATTCTCAAAAGGAACCATGGGTCTATCTCGATTATTTTTGCCTGTTACAAACATATGCACAAAGACATAATACCCTGTACCACAGTGTGGTGAAGGGTATAATGAAGATGGTGACAAACCAGGAAATGTTAAGTAGACCAGGATGAGTTGGTATTGTATGAAGGGTTTCGAAGTCCTTTGAAATACATTACCTTTTACGAATAAATCAATTTTATTCTCAAAAGGTTCTGTAGAATATATTTCATATGTAGGAGTTATGCTATTCATAATGGCCTTTAGAAGTTACTTACCTATAGAAGGAAGCCTTCTACAGACATCCCACAAAATATTTCCTCGATTCCCAATCAATCGGAAATTCCAACTTTTATAAAACATCATGTCCCGCCTTTCATTTATAGAGAGTTATTCCATAAAGAACATTTGCTTATATAAAATGTCCATAAAGAAATGTTAAAAAAACTCGAACTTTTTCCCAGAGTTTCCATACTGCCAATTTCCCATACAATTTTATTTCCAATCTATAATCATGCAAATTATAACATTTTTCCGCCACAGAACACACTTGGGTATCAACAAACGTTTATGAGGATTTGCCTCCATTCGCCATTCATGCCGGTAATGACTCAGATGGTGATGACATCTATGTTGGACGTGCCTATCACAATGGTGATTTGTTGCCATGCAAAGTGATTCCCAACAAGAAGCAGGCCTACGTTGCCTGGGGCGGTGAGGAGCACAACAAACATGATGTTGAAATTCTAACAGGTCATCATTATGGTAAGTTCAAACAAATTGACACCCACACACACATAGATATACAGATACTAATTTCCTATTGAACAATTTTCAGTGTGGATGCCCGCCAGCTATGGCTCTGTACCACCTCATGCATTGCGTGTTGGCACTACCAGTGATGGTGAACCTTTGTATGTGGGTCGTGGTCATCATTGCGGCAGTTTGACACCCGGCAAAGTCCATCCCTCTCATGGCTGTTTGTACATCCCCTATGGTGGTGCTGAAGTCAAATTGGAACACTACGAAGTTTTGGTCCAACCTGAAACCTGGATTTCCTCTTGCGGCACTGACATTTTGCCCGGCACCGTTCATGGTGGTACCGACTGCGATGGCCAGGATATCTATGTTGGCCGTGCCTATCACAATGGTGATCTTTTGCCCGCTAAAGTTATTCCCGGCAAGGGTTGTGCCTATGTGGCCTACGGTGGTTGCGAACATGTGAAGCAAGACTTTGAATTGTTGGTCGGCTATGGTTACGGATGGGTACCAGATTCCAATGGCGGTGTTCCACCCGGTGCTGTTGTCTGTGGCCGCACTTCTGATGGTGAACCTTTGTACATTGGTCGTGGTCACTGGAGCGGCAGCTTGACACCCGGTAAAGTCCATCCTTCTCATGGCTGTCTGTACATTCCATTCGGTGGTCAAGAGGTGCGTCTTGACAACTATGAAGTTTTAGTCAGATCTTAAGAATGATGGAGGTATATAGTTTCGTTTCATTTTTCCATTGTTGATTGCATTCATATCGTTTTTTTTTTTTAATAATTATAATTGTTATTTTAATCTATTGTGATTAATTTATGTACTATTTAAAAATACAAAAAAATAAAGTTTTAAAATGTTTTTAATATAAAATGTGTATGTTTATTAAATTTTTAATTATTTTATACTTAATATATGACCTAATATGTTTTTCCTAAGTTGGATCCTTATTGTTCTTATGGAGATTTTTATTCTACAGTAAACCAAACTTGGGTTTGAGACCTAAAAGAAACTCAACAATTGTAGAGTTTTCTGTAGAAAATTAAATTTGAAGTCAAAGGACATTTGAAATTTTGGTTTTGTCGTTTCCTACTATGAGCAGAACACAAGTTCAATAGCGGTAAGGAAGGCCGAGAAGATGTTTATACGATGATTGTCCTGGTCGCAACCGAATCACTATTAAACAGGTTGTTGATAATGTCGGCATATCGTTCGGTTTATGCCAAGTCATTTTACGGATGTTTTAAGCATGAACGTGCCGCAGAGAAGATTGTTCCAAATTTACTATGTGTTGAGCAAAATTACTAAATGAAAGCGTCTTGCTACCTATCAAAACAGGAACTGCTGACAATCCCAAAAACGCTTTTCCGAAAATTTCCCAAACCAGAACACTTGCATGTCTATCTCCTGAATGCCTGGGGCGTTATGTACGAATGATGTTATGTTTGAACTCAAATAGTAGTCGTTTTATAGATTCACGTTGATATTATCGGACATGAACAAATGGTCACACCCTAGTTATTCTACTACAGTCAAATTCCCATAGTTCAAACCACCATTATCCAGGGAAAAAACCTCGACTTATGAGGACTTTGAGCTATGGGATTAATTATAATTTACATCCTAAGTGCTACTACTATCGCTACATGTTGCCAAAATGCTGGGCTACTCATGTAAAGATTCATTTGGATCTAAAATAACAGCAGATTAAAGGATCATTATTTAAAAAAAAATAAACAAATTACTGTTACATTATCTTAAAATAAATTTATTTGTAATGGTCCTCTTTTTTCAAATGTTATATCTGTCTATTAAATAGACCCCATTTTAAATTTTCATTATAATTAAATTCATTTTTCCATAAATTCAAATACTTTTTTCCATTTAATTTATCTTCATTGACCATTTATGAACCTCTCTAGAACATTCATTTTTGTGTTCTACTTTATCTAGTCTTTTTTTACCGAATTTCGTTTTGTGCTCTGTTTTATTACGTATTTTATTTCGCCTCAATATACTTTCTCCTTAACTATTTTTTTTTTTTTCATATTTTGTAATGTCATTATGCTCTCTTATTCTCAATTATTTGCTTCGTTTTCTCTTTTCTTAGATTTCAATTTCTCACACCATTTTTGTGGCAGGCTGGCTGACTGCTTTATAAATGGCAGAGAGCGAGAGATTGACTCCACCCCCTTACTCTCCCTCTCTCAACAACAACGGCGAATTCAGCAAACCATTTGTGCTGAATAGCACACAACAACGAATCAGAATGAAGCTGAGCCGAAGTATGTTCGGCTTTTGAGTAATGAACATCCAACCAAACGTCGTGTGTTTCTGCAGTTGTTGTTTTTTCTTCGTTCTCTTCGAAATGCTTCTCTCAGTGTTGGGTTGATATGTGAGTGTATGTATGCGATGGAACAGCAAGCGCGCGAAAGAGAGAGAGGCCTACGTGTATTGATTTGTGAATAACAAATGAATGAATGATTGGTCATAAATTCTGCGGAGGGGAAGAAGGTAAGTGAAATCTTAAAATTACGTCTTAAAATTTAGATTTTATGCTTGTCCAAATCAAAATAATCATGCTTTATATTTGCAAGTCGATGTTAAGTTTAAATGTTGCAAATGTTAAACTATAAATGTTGTGGTTAATGCCTCGCCATGATCGTTTTATTGGCAAAGGCGAATTATGGCAAATAATTACTTTTTTGCAAATCTAATTTTCGAATATTAAAATTTTCGTTTTTGCATGCTTGTGTCTTTAACGTTTAAAATGCATTTATTCTTTGTACACAATTTTGAATTTGTATGGTATTTATCTAGGTTTCAATTCCCCGACGGCAATTGCGAGGTGACGATTTACGTCACTTGTTAGGTTAAGAGATTGTCGATTTAATCGCCACAGAGGAGGGTTTATATTAACTTTAAAAATAAATTTGCTCTTTTTTAGATAAATAATTAAATTTTTGGAACAAGTTTTGAGTTCCGAACACATTACATTATGAAAACATTTTCATAGTTTATTCATTTGCAGAAACAACGTTTTTTTTTTCTTTTTTGGATTTAATGAAGTATTTTTTGGGAACGGAGATTCCTTTAGAGTAGTCAGTACTATTGAACGTACTTCTTTGTTCACGAATTCTATATATTTTTTATGACTGAATCTACTCAGTACTCACTTGATCTTGAAATCGTGAAACTTCTTCAAATGCGTAGAAATGGTAATTTAGGATTTGAAAAGAAAAAACAAATATGGATCATTAAGTCTGACGAGTTACTGTTATTTATTCAAAATTCACTATGCCATTCTCAAATGTTGTTCTTGAACCTAGATATTGATATAGGGTAAGTGCACCAATAGTCGGCACATTAAGAATTTTCGCTTTTTAAACGTTTCACCATTCTAAGTGCATCTTTTCCACGATATTGTATTTAGGTTCATCTTTTTCGAAATTTTGTTTACTCCCCGATGGAATACAAATTTATTTAATTAATTTGTATTCAAGTAGATTAAATTAACAATTATGTAAAATAGTGCCTTTGTGCCAATAGTCGGCACTTTTTTCCAATTGTCGGCATGTTATGTTCCAATAGTCGGCATGTCGCATTTAAGTTAAACAAAAATTATATATTTAATCGATTTTTCTGCTATTTGCAATAATAAATTATTACTATGGGACGTTTCCATCAGTGTTGTATTGAAAAAGTTATATAAAATAATATTATTTATTAAAATTTTACAATTATAAAACATGGTGCCGACTTTGGGAACATGTTATCCAATTCTCGGCATGGCTAAATAAGGCATTTCAGAGGTTAAAAAAATTTAAGACTAAACGATGTCTTCCATTAGGAAAACCACTCAAAACTTATTTTTTATAAATTAATCGTTATTTAGAGCACTTATTTAAAATTTTTTCCAAATTTGAGCCAAAATGATCGAAAAGGTGCTTTTTATTCACCCATATTCCGACTATAGGAAACCCTTAAAAATTGTTGTTCCTAAGGGCGGCATCGATAAAAATATCATAATTATAAATATTTTTTGATAATTTAAAATTCTGAAGTGCTCTCCTGTATATTCTTTACATTTACGAAGAAGATTCTTGTGAAAAATATATAATTGTAATATAGTTACAAGTATTTTTAAATCGACATGCCCACTATTTTTTTCTTAAGAAACATGAATTATCGCTAGTGTTGACAAACCTCATTGACCAAATGCCAAATTTTGACTGAAAAAATGTACTTAGCTCGATGACATTTTACACAGAGATAGGTTGCAGTATTATTGAAGCCTATTCAAGGTATTTTTCATATCTAGTTATAGGATTTTTTAGTTATTTGAAGTTATGTATAGCAGATGCCGACTATTGGTACATGCCGGAATTAGGTGCGTTTACCCTATTCGTATTCTTTTCTAGAAAAATTCTAAATAGTCTATGTTTTATAATATTTATCCAAAATGTATTCCTTATATGGATTCTAAGGTCAATAATAATTAGTTACTGTAGAACACTGCTATAGTGAATGCAGAATAGCTTCAGTTCATTTCAGTCGAATAATATCACAAACCCTGGTCAAGCATACACATAAATTATGTGGAGGTTTGATAAAATCGATCAGGACTTTTATATGAATGTGACACCGTTGTAAATTACTACCAGGAGAAAACAAAATCGGAAACTACAGACTCTCAGGTTGAAAAATTCGGATAGGAACTTGAACCTACCGAAATCCTCAAAATATAAATAAATGGGGATAAGAATAGGAAAATTAATATATTTTTAATTTTTTGTAGAAAGATCAGACACACAAAGAGTACCCAAAATACCGAATAATGGGGCTTTCCCCAAAAATGGACCATCATTGTCTACACAATGAGGATTCATAATATAGGTACAATTGAAGCGGCTTTGCACGAAAAACTTATCCAATCTCCATAAAATATGGAAATTTGGGAGGTACTTTTACCAATGTTGATCATTTTTGCCTAAAAGATCTGCTACCCAATGAGAACCTAAAATGCCAGCCAATTCGACTAAAACGTTCCCAAATTACCGTTAAATGGAGGATATACTAAAACTTGGACCGATAAATCTCAGTATAAATACAAAACATCCTTGTATTAGCAATGCCTGTGCAAAATTTCATCGGGGTCCACAATAGCTTAAAGACGGCTGGACCGATCATAATATATTTTTGTGGGCTTTTTAAGAATTTACATCAAACAGTAGATTTTTTAAAATTGGTTTTCAATAAAGTGTCAATTTCAATAAATATGAAATTTTTTACTTTAACGCCCATTTTTTAAAATACTTTCTTTTTAAATCTGATCTAATAGCACCTAATAAACATATATAATGGTCGGTCCAGCCATTTATGGGTGTAGTGGATGACGTAAAATACATTTTTAAAAAGCAGTGTTTGCAATATTTTCAACAGGAAATTACCGAAAGGTAATGGTCATTTCAAAAAAGTCTCTAACTATTAAAAAAGAACCTCTTACAACACGAGAGATAATTTTTGTAATTTATATATTTTTCTGTTCAAACGCGCATTTTTAATAATAATTATAAAAACATAACGTCGTTTTATAAAAATTTGTAATAAACCACTTACAATTTTTTTAAAATTCTCTATTTGAGCCATGTATGTGTCACAACAGCGACTTTTACAATGCAACGTCATAACATTGACGTTTTCAAACT